AGCTGATCAAACTGTTAGTTTTTATTTCTTCATATTTCTTTAGGTTATTGGTTCTAGATCCACTAGAAGCACTCCCCTTTCTTCCCCTTACTAGAAGCATAATTAAGAGGACGTAAATTACATGCATTTGTTAACGGCATTTAGGGATGGATAGGAGGTTGGGATAATCGTCTTCATGAAAACATTATATTATCATATACTTTAGACATTTTCTTTATCTATTTTATTAATAATTTATATTCTTCATTTAAAATTTTATAAGTTCGACCCTATCTTAAATTTTAAAATTCTCCTAACATAAACTCCTGCTTCCGAAATTCAACTATTTAGCTTATTAGACCTAACAAGCCCATGGCCCATGAATGTTACAGTTTGAGATATGTGGCTTCATTAGAAAAGCTCACGGCACTGAGAAAGTTGGACCTCTGCAATACAGCTATCGAAAAGGTTCCCGATGGACAGAAAGCTTTCTTGTCTGCAATATTTGGTTTCGTATGTTGAATCAAGTACTCTAAAGACTAAGGGACTGGAATCTATAACCAGATTAAGGAAGATGGAGACATTTGAAGGCAGGTTTAATGGGTTGGTGGACTTTAATGCGTACTGCAAGTCTTCTCAAGCTCAAGGACTCTCTTCTTGCTTGCTTGTGATGGCTGCAATTGAAGCCAAGTTTGACTTCAAACCACATCAACACATATATCTACTTTTGTTTTCAACCTCAAACGGAATAAGGAAATTGACAGTAATGGTGTACTCAGACTCTTGTCGCGCATTCAAGGTACTGATCGTAAAATTTTCCCTTCTATTCACTATCTAATCTATTGGCAACACCTATAACATATATTATACAGCCCTGATGGTGACTGTCGCATATCTTAAATTTGTAAAATAATAATAGCCATATAAAAGATAGGAGTTCAATTCATGGAATCCGTGGTTGAGTTGTGGTCATCAGTCATGGGTTAGCCTTCAAACTCATTATTATGAACAGGCTTAAATAGATTATAACTGCAACATTAATCAGTTGATCAAATAATTCAAAATAATAGCCTTTACATGCACCATCCAATAAAAACCAGCTCTAATAAAAGCAAGTAAAGTTGCAGTTAAGCCAATGAGTCGCCATAGATTGTGCTGAATAATATCCCATTTCTGTCCATCTATGGAGGAATAGGGAGGGGAAACATCCTATGCTATTAATCCTTTCCCGTATAAAGAAGACGACGATTTAATGTTGTAACAAAATAATTATAACTTCATATATTGTTTTGAATGTTTTGGGTGATTATAAGATAATATTTGTTTAGAATTTTTCTTAGTTATTGACAATACAAATACCTTGTTCGAACTCGATACCTATAGAAAGAACAACACTTCTTTTATTATTAAGATCGTTTAGTAGATTCAATTATAATATATATATATATATATATTATATGAAACAACCATATTAAATTTAAATTTATCCATGTGTGTAATGGAACGGTAGCTAGTTGCCACTCATTTTGGCTTGTGTAAGTAAGGCTAAATATTTACTACACGCTTAGTGTTGGTACGAATAGTTGAGATATTCATGAATTTAAATTTGTAAAGTTAAGTTCGAATCTTACTACTGTCAATCTTAGTGAATAATCTGTAAATTTTTATATAAATCTCAATTAAATCTTAGGTATACTTAACCTTATACCGGGAGAACCAACCCTTACCTAATCTTTATGTAACCCAAAAAAACATTTACTACACAACACAAATCGTACGGTCATCGGCTCAAATATTAATTACAAACAGCTTCCTTTAAGCCTTGCTTACCCCTTCCTTCCTACCCTCTCCTATTGGCAACCTTGTAATAATTACTTCTTCTTCAATAATTCTGTAAGTATTGATTCTGTAATAATTACTTCTTTTTTAAAAATTCGTATTTTGGTTGAGTTGATTTTTTTTAAATAATGTTAGGTCGGGTTAAATTCAGTTTTAGGGTTATAAATTTTTAACTTGACTCGAGTAATATAATATAATTATTATTTATATATTTAGAGATTGTAATAATATTGATCTTTATATTTTTTAATTAACTTCCTATTTTATCTAATAAAAATAATAAATATATATACATATATTTGTCTTGGGTCGAGTCTAATTTTTACTCTAGAAATCATATCAGATTTCGAATCGAGTGGAACTTCCCTAAATCCAAATCAAAATCAGATAACATGTGTAAAGATATAATATTCAGATTAAAGTCGTATTAATCAAAATCTTGTTCGACCCAACACATACTCATCCCTAATTTACATACCTAAATTATCAATTTTGGTCCGTTTTAATTATTAAATTGTGTGTTTTGAAAAAATTAAAAGTTCATGTACTAAAACAGATCAAAAATGAAGTGTAGATAGTAAATGCGTAGTTTATCCAAATAATAAAAATGAAACCATGTTAATAACTTATAGCTTTTAGTTTGTTGTTGGTTGAACTGGAAGCATGAAGCATGTAATTGGTTAACTAAAAACAGACAAAAAAGAAGAGTTGGTTGACATTCGTATGGTAAGTGGTTTGAAATTTTTACAGCTGGATAAATGTACCTGTTGTTCATGCACCCTATGTTATTCTATTCTCTGTTATGTGTATATTCAATGCCGATGAATTTAATATTTTCAGAGTTTTTTTTGTTGTATATTTAAAAGGTGGGTAAAGTACAGAAGCGGTCCCTCAATTATAAGATAATTATAAGGTACTATTTTGTTGAGTCCTCCTCCAACTATTATAAATTATAAAATAGTCCATCGACTATATGGTGTTGCTTTGTTAAATCATTTTACTATTAAATGTTACAAAATGGTCACTCGACTATCCATATGTTCCAAACTCGTAATTTTTCGTTAAAAAATTAGTAACATGTTGATCGAGATGTGATAAAATCAGATATCAGAATCATTTGAGATGCATTTTATGGATCGACTCTTCGTTCACGTTATATTGTCGAGTAAGTGCTTGAAAGATTATATTGTTGAACGAGTGCTTAAAAGCAACGATGGTGCCAATAGACATTATTAAAAATATGATTTTATCATATCCCAATCAGCATGTTAATATTAAGCTAAGACGACCATCAATATTTAACAGAAAATGATAAATTTGAAATATATGGATAGTCATATGGTCATTCTATAACTTTTAAAAGTCGGATGGCTCAACAAAACAACATCCTATAATCGGTAGATCATTTTGTAACTCTTAATAGTTAGAAGACTCAATAAAACATCAACCTATAGTTGGTGGACTATTTGTGCACTTCAAGAACACAAATGTATATATATATATATATATATATATATATATATATATATATATATATATATATATAAAGTTTATGATAAGCATGTGAATTTAATGGTAAATGTATTATTATTATTCTTTAAGATTTCGAGTTTGAGTATCATGAATATCAGAAGTGTGAGCGTTTAATATCGAATGATTACGATTTATATTTGAATATATATTGCATTATATTTATCTCATATTAATAAAAAATTATAAATGTTAAAAAAATTTTCAAAAATAAAAATAAATGGTTGCATTAATATAATTGAAGTAAATATTGACACGAAAAGAGGTTGAGGACGAGACACGTGAGAGTCGGTCCAATGGTAGATTTTGGTTCTATGAAGAAATTAATGGCATATAACATTAATTCAACCACCTCTCTCTTCTCTTTTCTTCTCTTTCAATTTTGTTTAATTTTTAAGAATAAGTTATTATATAGTATATTATTTATTTTTATTTTTATCATTACTTTTTCTTATTTTAATCGTTAATTATTATAATTAATAACATAATACGAATAATGATGTAATATAATAATAATTTTGAATAATTACTTAGTTGACCATAAATGTTATCCTAATGTGTCATTATAGCAAGGACAACAACGTCAAACCTGCTGACGAGGAAACACTAAAATTAACAGTCGTTTTCGCCTTTCAAATGTCTAAATTCAGTAACATAGATTTGTATTTCTACAATGTTTCAAAATTCTAATCAATTTGACTACCAAATTCCTTAACATCCACTCATTTATCACACACAAATATATTAGTTAATGTTCCTAATAAAATTGGTTAATGTATGTTCCAAATCCTTATATTCTTTATATATAAAAAATTTAGTCCTATTTCCCCCTAAGAATTTAGTTATTTTATTTCTCATAGAGATGGTAACGGATTGAGTTTTTAATTAATTCGACTAGAAATATTGTTTATCCTCTACTCGAATATGAAGACTATATTCTCTCTACCTGAACTTGATCAAACTCAATTTTTTCGAGTATAAACCTGATCTGATTCAAACTAACCCGACGTAAAATAAAGACCTAAGTAAAAAGTATATAGAAAGAAGATATTATAACAATTATCTCTAAATTTATAGTGAAAATATTATACATGACCCTATGCCAATTTGGATATGAGGATTTTCACATTCCATTCGAATCTGGTCCGACCAAATTTTTTTTTAAATGATCAAATAAAATTAGGTCTGATCAGATTAAAATAGATCAATTTTAGATTAAATTGACATTCTAATTTCCCATACTTGAAATTTTTACTACAAAGAGAGGGTATATGAGCTGGCATGCAAATTAATCAGAATTGGATGTGAATGTGAGTTTAAAGTCACCCCAAGGGGCAAAACAAGGTCTCCTACTCCAGCCGTGGAATTCATTTCGCCATTAATGACTTGCACCAGCTAGCTAGCAGCTACCCCATGTTTCAGTGGTCTTAATTACAGCTGATAGCTGCATTTCTTGTTGGATTCAATACCCATTTCTTATTATATATAATCATAAATCTGTGCTGTATTTGCTTAGTTATACACTGTATCTTGGTGTATATATAAATCATTGATCAGCTTTTGACTATTGAAGCCAAGGCTGTGAGTGTTAACAGACACACACAACAAGACCAACCAGTGAAAACCGCACATAGGAACTTGTTCTCTTTCTCTGCAAGCTATTATTATTTTATATTGTTCGCCCTGTGAAGCTTCTTCTTCTGCTGTGTAGCCTTTCAATGGCTGCTTTTGTTGGGGCAGTGAAGCTCTTTATCTGTTTGGTTCTTTGGCTCAACACCCTCTCTTCTCTTCAAGGTCTCTATCTTTTGACACACACACACACACACAAATATATACATACATATGTATATATATATCTGGTCTCCTCATGTTTTTGTTCACATTTGTTCTTTATTTCTTTGGATTCTTGCATTCAGCACACACACACAGATGTATATATGTTGTGGGGTATGTGCAGACATGTAGATTGAATAATTCCTTCAAGAAACTGATGAATTAGAGACGAAACTGATAGTTTTAGCGACGGTAGAAGCCCAATTATAAATTTTCAGCGACGAAATCATAGTGTCGCTAATGATGCTGAAAATTTTGGTTTAGGTGCGAGGGAATTTTACGAATTTCGGTACCCCTTCATCAGAAAGGCGAGTTCATTCTCATCAGCATCATCGTTTTCGTCTTCAAACTCCGACGAAGTCTCGTATGACTACATAATCGTCGGAGGTGGCACGGCCGGGTGTCCCCTAGCTGCCACATTGTCTCGGAACTTCAGCGTGTTGGTGTTGGAGAGAGGTGGAGTTCCCTTCTCAAACGCCAATGTCTCCTTCCTCAGCAACTTCCACATCGCCTTGGCCGACACTTCTCCGACCTCCGCTTCTCAGCCGTTCGTTTCGACCGATGGCGTTATTAATACTAGGGCTAGGGTTCTTGGTGGTGGAACTTGCATCAATGCTGGCTTTTACACCCGAGCTAACTCAGAGTAAGTAATAACACTTTCGATCTTTATCAGTTTAAACTCAAGTTAAATTAACGTCACTATTATAGAAAAACAATGGTCCTGTGAATTCTCTTTGAAGCTATAAGAAAAGGGTCTTAAATATACGAGAATTTGGTCCAAGAATATTAAAAATATGTAGCTAGGCACATGTATTATATTTAAAGATGGATGGTGGTCATGTGAAACCTGAAAATCAATATATGTATTTGTCCACAACCAAGCATTTATCAAGTTTCAAGGGTCAAGATGTTTCGGTTTTCAAGAACATTAAATTAGGGTTTTCAGATTACATTTATGATTCACCCATCTTTTGATTCCTCAAGTATAAGTATTTTTTTATTTGAATTAGTGTTAGTTAAAAATAATTGTACGAATGAATTAAACTGAATCATTTTTTTTTCTCTTTTGGATGTTGCAGTTTCATTAAAAGAGTGGGGTGGGATGCAAGGTTAGTGAATGAATCGTATCCATGGGTAGAGAAACAAATAGTTCACCAGCCTAAACTAGCACAATGGCAAGATGCCTTCAAGGACGGTCTTTTAGATGTTGGGGTCTCACCTTATAATGGATTCACCTATGATCATATCTACGGAACTAAAGTCGGCGGAACCATTTTCGACCGTTTTGGCCGTCGACATACCGCCGCGGAGCTTCTTGCTTCTGCCAACCCCAAAATGCTCACTGTCTTGATATATGCCACTGTCCAAAAGGTTTTGTTTGATAAAACCGGGACGATACCGAAGGCGATTGGAGTGATGTTCAAGGATGAAAACGGGAACCAACATCAGGCGTTCTTGACGAACAATCGGCGGAGCGAAGTGATTTTATCATGTGGCGCAATGGGGACTCCTCAGTTGCTGATGCTTAGTGGCGTTGGACCGAAAGCTGAACTCGAGAGGTTGAACATTTCCATGGTGTTGCACAATGAGTTTGTTGGCAAAGGCATGGCTGATAACCCGATGAACTCGCTTTTCGTCCCGATGACTCATCCCGTGGAACAATCTCTTATACAGACCGTAGGCATTACCAAGATGGGAGTTTACATTGAAGCTAGCAGCGGATTCGGACAGGCCCAAAACAGCATTCGTTGCCACCATGGGATGTTGTCTGCCGAAATCGGGCAGCTGTCGACATTACCGCCGAAGCAACGAACAAAAGAAGCCATTGAAGCATTCATCAAAAGTAAAAATGACCTTCCACATGAGGCATTCAAGGGAGGTTTCATTTTAGAAAAGATTGCAATGCCTCTTTCCACAGGCCACCTCAACTTGATCAACACAAACGTCGACGACAACCCTTCCGTTACCTTCAACTACTTCAGCCACCCTCGCGACCTACAACGATGCGTCAAAGGAATCCGGATGGCTGCCAAGGTTATACAATCAGATAAGTTCATGAACTTCGCGAAATGCGACAAACCGACCATGGAGAAGCTTCTCAACATGAGTGTCAAGGCTAACGTTAACCTCATACCAAAGCATATTAATGACACAAAGTCCCTACAACAGTTCTGCAAAGACACCGTGATCACAATTTGGCATTACCATGGAGGGTGCCATGTTGGAAAAGTGGTGAACCATGACCACAAAGTTCTCGGAACTAGAAGACTCCGAATCGTCGATGGGTCCACATTTAGTGAATCCCCTGGGACTAACCCTCAGGGCACTGTCTTGATGATGGGCAGGTAAGCTTTAAAGGCACGTTTAATCAGTACTACAAAGCATTTAACTATGCACAGAAATGGTGGGGCAAGGTTACACTTATTTTCTTTCTGATTTTTGCAGGTACATGGGAATCAAGATTTTGAGACGACGACTTGGAAAGGCTGCTCATGTATAAGGGACCACCATACACCGGCGTTTGTTTTGTGGTTGTAGTAGCACTAGGAAATGAATGTGATATTTATATGTAGAGAATTAGCTTTAGCTTTGCCTTTTAAATTGTGCTGTTTATTTATATATGATGAACTGGGAAAAGAAGGGAAATAGTTTGGGATATTAGGCTTAGCTATGTGCTTGTTTTGATGTTTTTAGTGCCATATAATCAAAGATTTAAGGCTCCATGCTTTGTTTCTTTCTGGTTTTTTCTTTACAGTTTAATGTGACCTTGGCCAAATTTTAACAGAAAATCCATGCTCACTTTGACTGCCTCTTGATAATCTTCGTATTCTCTGCCAGAAATGCCTTGTAAAGGACCCCGGTTCCGTGTCACAGTTGGAAGGCGAGAGGGAGAAGACGAAGGGCGAGAGAAGGGTATCGAAGAAGAAAGGGGAGAATTGGGGGAAATGAAGAAACAAGGGTTAGGGATTGAGATTGAGATGGGAAGCAATTACCTGAGAGAAGAGCACGTGAGGCGCACGAGAATTATTAAAACACCAAAACAGTTGATCCAGCAGATTCAGATGCTTGGTCCAGGAGATCCAGGTGATACACAGGTGGCCCAGTAAAGCCCAAGTCCTGAGGAGATAACAGAACTGGTTAGCAAAGACAGGCTAGCTGGCATAACAGATTCTCTATTTGCTTGTATGTAAATAAAACAGCAATGTAATGGAAAATGGTTATGAAATGAATGATGAACTTTCCTTTTCTCTAAATTCTCTCTTCTTCTATCATCTATATTCTCGTAATCTTCTCTATTTCTCTTCAATACATAACAATTGGTATTGAGAGCCTCGGTTTCTGGCAAGATTGGTGGCATGCCCAAGAAGAATCATATCATGGCAGAAGATTTAGCTGGGTTGCAGAAACAAATGGAGGAATTGACATCACTGGTGAAACAAGGAAAGGATGAGTCTAATCCTCCTAAATGGTGGGAGACTCAGGAAAATAGAATTTCTGCATTGGAGTCTAGGATGGCTATGAATCATGGATATGTTGCAGAAATCTTGAAGATTCTGACTGGTAGAAAGGAGGACCAAAACCAATCTGATAAGAATCAGGTACAGACCCCTGACTCATCTAATATGAGTAGTAAACAACCTGTTAAGGTAACAATAATTAATGATAAGACTCGGTTTACTTATAAACCGGATGAACTTGGAATTCTTAAGTCTAAACCGAATGATTTGCCTGCTCATATAACTAGCTTTAAAAATGATAATCAAATAGGGGAGAACAGTGCTGTTAAGAACAATACAGATGTGGATGGAAGAGGCACAGGGGTTTTTTTTAATACTTCAGGGAGTATGTTGTACATGCCTAAAATCGAGCTACCTTTTTCTGAAGGTAGTAATCCAAGAGGTTGGATACATAAATGTCTTAAGTACTTTTCACTATGTAATATTGCTGAGGAACAAAGAGTACAAGTAGCTACAATGTACTTAACAGGAAAAGCAGAAATTTGGTTTGATGGCTATATTATGCAAAAACACCATGTTACATGGCATGAGTTTGAGGCAGACCTATATCATAGGTTCTGTGATAAGGCCTTTGCCGATATAGTGGAAGAGTTTACTAAACTAGTACAGAAAGGCTCTGTAGAGGAGTATCAAGACAGATTTGAAGAATTACAGCCTCACATGCTTTTGAAGAACCCTACTCTGGGTGAGGAATTCTTTGTCTCTTTGTTTATCAGTGGATTAAGGGATGGCATTAAACATAGGGTCAAAGCCCTAGATCCCAAGACACTGACTGAAGCATATAGGCAAGCTAAACTGTATGAGTTGTCTGTTGAATTTGAAAGTAAAAGGTTGAGGCCAGTCTTTAGAAACCTATCATACTCAAATTCCCTACCTAATTCTAAGCCAAATTAGTTACCAATTCCACAAAATAGTTCAACCACTTTGCAACCAAAACATAATTTAGTAGAGTACAGAAGGCAAAATAATTTGTGCTTTAAGTGTGGTAAGAAATTTGTCCCAGGCCATTAGTGTAAAATAAAACAATTAAACATGATGATTGAAGATGAGATTGTTCTTCCTTCAGATATTGTACCTACTGATTCAGAACAACCAGTCCTACAGGAAGAAGAGAGCCTAGAAATATCTATGAATGTTATCACTGGGTGTATTAGACATAATACACTAAAAATTCAAGGCAGTATCCAAGGCAAACCATTGAACATTCTAATTGACAGTGGTAGTACCCACAATTTTCTAACACCACAGTGGGCTGAAGTTGGTATACAGGTGAATACACCTTATCCTTTAGCTATTACAGTGGCTAATGGAAAACAACTTTATAGTTCAGCAAGGTGTAATAAGGTTGAATGGCAAATGCAAGGGCACTCTTTTGTTCATGATTTCAGACTTTTACAATTGGGAGGGAGTGATATGGTGTTGGGAGTATATTGGATGAAACTATTTAGTCCAATCTTGATGGACTTCAATAAAATGACTCTTAGTTTTGTTCATCAGGATGAACAAATTGTTATACATGGTCAGCAACCATCTCAATTTTTGCAACAAATTTCAGGGGCTTCTTTATTGAAAATGACAGGTTCAGACTCTGTTATTTTGGGACTCTGTTATTTTGGGACATGTGGTGTTATTATCTATGACAAAAGGTTCTAAACCTATTCCTGCAGCTATTCGACCTCTCTTAGAAAAGTACAAGACTATTTTTGAGGAACCAAAAGGCCTCCCACCAGAAAGAAATCATGACCATGGTATTCCTCTTAAGTCAGATTCAATTCCTGTCATCTAAGGCCCTACAGATTTCCACATAACCAAAAACAGAGGTGGAAAGGCAAATTACTACTATGTCTTCTCTATTATTCAGCCTAGTAGGAGCCCATTTGCATCTCCATGCCTATTAATTAAGAAGAATGATGGATCTTGGAGGTTCTGTGTGGATTATAGACAACTCAACAGCATGACTATTAAGGATAAATTTCCTATTCCTGTTGTGGAGGATTTATTAGATGAGTTACATGGTGCTATTTATTTTTCAAAGATTGACCTCAGATCAGGGTATTGGAAAATCAGAATTAAAAATGCAGACATACACAAAACTGTATTCAGAACTCATCAAGGCCACTATGAATTTAAGGTAATGCCTTTTGGCCTTACTATTGCCCCTACTACTTTTCAGGCATTAATGAATGAATTATTTAGTTCATTCCTTAGAAAATTTATGTTGGTGTTTTTTGATGATATTTTAGTATACAACAGTTCTATGGCAGCTCATATTGCTCATTTACAGAAAGTTTTAGAGGTGTTACAAACTAATCAATTATTTGCAAAGTTCTCCAAATGTTTTTTTGGACAAAACCAAGTGGAATACTTGGGACATATTATTTCAGCTGCAGGAGTTGCTACTGATCCTACTAAAGTGGAAACAATGAAGAATTGGCCCATTCCTAAATCTTTAAAATCTTTGAGGGAATTTTTAGGATTGACAGACTATTACAGGAGATTTATTAAAGACTATGGTGCTATCAGCAAGACAATGACACAAATGCTTAAAACAGACAACTTTCAGTGGACTAGTGCAACTGTGACTGCCTTTGAAGAACTTAAAAGAGCTATGAGCAGTGCTTCAGTTTTAGCTCTCCCAGATTTTCCAAGAATTTTTGCTTGGAAACAGATGCAAGTTCAGGGGGTATACGTGTTGTCTTATCTCAAAATGGCAGACCTATTGCTTATTTAAGCAAGGCTCTCAGTCCTAGAAATTCTAGCCTCTCTATTTATGAAAGAGAGTATCTTGCTATTCTCCTGACAGTTTCTAAATGGAGACATTACTTAGAGGGAAATCCTTTTATCATTAAAACTGACCATGAATCTCTAAAGTATCTCTTGGAACAGAAGTTAACTACTACAATCCAAAAGAAAGGCCTGACTAAACTCTTGGGTTTGGATTATACTATTCAGTATAGAAAGGGAAGATCCAATGTTGTGGCAGATGCCTTATCTAGGCAATGGGAGGATCATGATCAGAGTTTTGCTATGAGTACAACTGTAATCATTCCTAGTTGGGTTCAAGATGTGGAGGCTAGTTATAGAAGATCTATTGGCTGATTGGATTTCTAAGTTAATTGTGAATCCTGCTGTTGATATTAATTGGAGATATTCAAAGGGCATCCTTAGATTTAAGGATAGAGTTTATATTGGAACTGTTGGAACCTTAAGACTACAAATTCTTCATACATTACATGATTCACCTTATGGTGTCATTCTGGAAGTCAAGCCACTTATCAAAGAATTAGATCCTATTTTTATTGGCCTAGACTTAAGGCTATGGTGGCAACCTGTGTCAAGCTTGTACAGTTTGTCAACAAACTAAGTGGAACATGTTGCTAAACCAGAACTGCTACAACCACTACCTATCCTCAACAAGCTTGAGAGGTCATCACTATGGATTTTATAGAGGGGTTGCCTACATCATTGAAGAAAAACTGTATTTTAGTAGTGGTTGATAAGTTTACTAAGTATAGTCATTTTCTGGCTCTGTCACATCCTTACTCAGCAGCTGAGGTGGCTAGATTATATTTAGACCATATTTATAAGCTTCATGAACAGCCTAAAATGGCCATTTCAGACAGAGATAAGACTTTCACTAGTCTCTTTTGGAGAGAACTAATGAAACTCTTAGGAACTAAGACCCTATTTAGCACTGCCTACCATCCTGAAACTGATGGACAGACAGAGAGGGTGAACCAATGTTTAGAACAGTACCTAAGGGTCTTTGTTTTTATCAACCCAAGAAATGGCTAAATGTTGCCACATGCTGAGTGGTGGTACAATACCACCTACCCACTGCCTTAAAGTTAACACCTTTTCAGGCTCTCTATGCTACAAAGCTCCTACAATGGTTTGGCATACAAAAACTAATGTACATGCAGTAGCATAATTAATGCGTAGCAGGGAAGAAATCAAACAATTGGTCAAAGTCCAGTTAGATCAAGCCAGTAATATAATGAAACAGAGAGCAGACAAAAATAGGTCAGAACAAGTTTTTCAGGTGGGAGATTTAGTTTACCTGAAGTTGCAACTGTATCGACAATCTTCTCTTGCCCTGCGAAAACATTTGAAATTGGCAGCAAGGTTTTATGGTCCTTATAAAATTATTAAAACCTATAAATTGGACTTACTAGATACCTCGCGTTTGCACCCAGTCTTTCATGTTAGCCTATTGAAG